TCTTCACATTTTCATAATTCTCTTCACTCATTTTGCTCTCTTGCATATGCCTCTATTTATAGGCATTCATGAAGGTTTTTCTTCAACAAAGGTGGCTGCCAACTCCAACTCTTCTTCAACAATAGTGGCTGCCAACCTTTGACATCTTGGATGAGTGCACATGGTTGGTACAATAGCAAATAGTTGTTGCACATTAATGGCAACCAACCTAACAGTATAGACATGGGAGAATTTGTCAGATGGCACTGAAGGGGGGTGCTTGAGATGGTGCTCTACAGACTCCCCACTCTTGGGGTTCTTGAGTTTGAAGATGAAGTGAACCTTGTTGGTGGAGCCACACTTGTCAGGTCCAAACATTATGGAATAAGGAGACTCATTATCGAATTCCTCGGGTTTTCATCCAACCTCCCGGGGACGGAGGTACTTCACGTAGGCACCACCACACTCAAGTCCATTTTGCAGCCGAACCTCAAACTGCAGGACAACTGTTCCATCAGTGAGTACGCTGTCTAGCTCTTTCACAATGGCATACCTTTTGGCCTTCTCACTGACAAGAAGTCCATAATCATCGTGTCCTTCGCTTTTCGAGAGCTTCCAGACACCTAATACAAAATGGATGCCATTATAGAACCATAAATTGCAAAAAGACTACACCAGCAATAAAGTAAATCATGACACCTGCAACATATTCAAGTTTATACAGAATCATTATATTTAGGCAGAATTTTCTAATACCATACAGATTCTTGTACCAGAATCAGCCTTTAGTTTTTACAGCTGAAACAATGTACAAGAATGATTACAATGCAACTCTATGAAACATATTTTCCCTTCACATTAGAATTTTCCTTCGTGACAAAAATCACAAGTAGACAGGCCCCTCGACACCAATAAAGTTGCATTTGTTAGCTTGATAACTACATTAATCTCACACTCAAACTGTAGGACAACTGTTCCATCAGTGAGACTAAATACACTGTCTAGCTCTTTCACAATGGCATACCTTTTGGCCTTCTCACTCACAAGAAGTCCATAATCATCGTGTCCCTCGCTTTTCGAGAGCTTCCAGACACCTGATACAAAATGGATGTCATTATAGAACCATAAATTGCAAAAAGACTAAACCAGCAATAAAGTAAATCATGACACCTGCAACATATTCAAGTTTATACAGAATCATTATATTTAGGCAGAATTTTCTAATACCATACAGATTCTTGTACCAGAATCAGCCTTTAGTTTTTACAGCTGAAACAATGTACAAGAATGATTACAATGCAACTCTATGAAACATATTTTCCCTTCACATTAGAATTTTCCTTCGTGACAAAAATCACAAGTAGACAGGCCCCTCGACACCAATAAAGTTGCATTTGTTAGCTTGATAACTACATTAATCTCACACTCAAACTGTAGGACAACTGTTCCATCAGTGAGACTAAATACACTGTCTAGCTCTTTCACAATGGCATACCTTTTGGCCTTCTCACTCACAAGAAGTCCATAATCATCGTGTCCCTCGCTTTTCGAGAGCTTCCAGACACCTGATACAAAATGGATGTCATTATAGAACCATAAATTGCAAAAAGACTAAACCAGCAATAAAGTAAATCATGACACCTGCAACATATTCAAGTTTATACAGAATCATTATATTTAGGCAGAATTTTCTAATACCATACAGATTCTTGTACCAGAATCAGCCTTTAGTTTTTACAGCTGAAACAATGTACAAGAATGATTACAATGCAACTCTATGAAACATATTTTCCCTTCACATTAGAATTTTCCTTCGTGACAAAAATCACAAGTAGACAGGCCCCTCGCCCCCCCCCCCCCCAACAGTCAAGCCTTGAGTAGGTCATCCACGCTCAGATTAGTATCTTGATTTCAGACATCGTTCATAATTGAGGTCAACACAAACAGACACAGACGCAAAAGAAAAGCAATTTCTGTACTTTCTAAGAAAGAAAAAGCTGATAAAGCAAACTTTATAGCAAAACCCACAACAGAAAGCAAGTCAAGTGCTATGAATTAAAAAAAAATCATCATTAGATTTCTAAAAATAAGAGCAACGAAAAATAAAAAAATGGATATAAGAAATGACAATGCAAAAAAGAAAAGCAAAGCAAACCTTGATAGTAATCTTTCTCAGAGAAAATCCACTTTACTTCAAAAGATTGATCAAATGGCTCGTAAAACATCTGAAAACATAGGTCAAGAACACCAAGCTGTATGAGATTATTATTAATATTATAGTGGCCATAGCTATTGAATTTATGATGGAAATAAATAAGCTGGGAGTATCAATGAAATTAAGAAAGGAGTGAAATTAAGATGGATACCAACCACATCATCATAACTAGCGCAGATCTGAAAGACAAAGCAAGCAATCAACAGAAGCTGAGGAATCGGATTCCAGCTTCTTTCCATTTCAATGGAACCTTGCAACCATGAAAGGCCTTACTCTCTGGTTGTATTGGACTCCCCGGAATAAAAAGAAAAAATGGCAACTTACGCCATCCAGGTTTTGAGGTCTTTTTAGACATTTTACTTGGGCCCCACTTTCTTTTCCTGTTCTCTATTTTGATACTATAACGTAGTCCCTGTAATATAATGAAGCTAATTAACTAGTCCTATTTCAGAGATTACGTATGTAATCTTTATACTTTTTAATCCGTTTCCCTTGGATTATTTTTTTTGGTCAAATTCATGTTCTTTTCTGAAAAAAAAAAAAAAAGGAACTCAATAGCTCAAACCAAGCGGATCTTTTCCTCAAGCAAACAGGTTTTTAGAGGCTACATGCAAGAGGGCATCGGAAATGAACCCATTCCCTTCCAGAAAACAAAAGCGTCCACATGCATGAAAATGCATTTAGATCTTGCGAGAATTTCTTTTAGAATTTAAATCCACAAGTACAGTTCTCCAATCTACTTAGAATTGTTCGAACAAAAATATATAACGAATGTCACCCGAAAAAAAGAGTTACGCCTCAAAGATATCGCCGGAGAAATTCTTCTGATAATCATTACTTTTGTTGCTCCTCCAATACCAACCATAAACACCGTTGAAATTCTAACTAAATGATTAACCTAATCTAATCATGTGCAACACATTCTGATACTGTTCAGAGTCTTGGAAGGAGATGTCTGATCATTCGTCGTTCTTCATCCAACTTGAAGTTGGCAGCAGAAAAATCAGTACTCGAGAAGAAGGGTCTTAGATCACTGATCCCACGCTCTTCAGCCTGCAAAAAATACATCAAAACTCGAGGTCAATAATAATCAATGCGAGGTACAACCCTTTTGTGACGAAATAGGCAAACCAAAGTACTGGTTTCCGTTACCATGTTCAGCAGATCATCTACTTTCACATCTATGTGGGTAAGCCCTGACGCCGAGCCAGAAATGATTTCTTCAAAACGCAGTGCTCTGTTCACAATCTCTTGTAGAAGATTGAGAAGCATTCTATTGTAATCCATCTTGTAAGTAATGTACTTTCTGAAACTCTGCATTAGTATATCAATTATTTTCAGTAATCAACCTCTAAAAACACTAAAATTTATGTAATCAGCTAATTCCCCTGGTCAACATATTCAGGGTATCATGACATACGTGTTGCAGCGGTAGTGAAAGAATACAGAACTGGTTCTGAGTTATAGGCAAAGGTTGAGCAACACAAAAATGATGAAAGATATCCAACAGTCCAGGGGAGCAAATCCAGTCCGGAAGCTATATCCAAAATCTTTAAGATTGATGATATGTTTTTGATTTGCAGGGGTTTCTAAGTGCAGCATAATCCAGTCAGAAGCATCGAGTAACAATAGAGTTGAAAATATCACTTGAAAATCTAAAAGTTCAGTAACCACAATGACCCCTGACCAGTCGAATCTTGAACATATTTCCATGCATCTATTTATAAACTATTTCTAACAGTAGCGCATTCAAGATGTCGAGTATTATTACACTGCTGTCAACAGAGAAAGAAATAAAAGTAAATTAGGGTAAAGAACGTGGCAGCTTCGTATTGTGCACTCATGCATCTCTCTCTCTCTCTCTCTCTGTTTCTTTCCTTTTCACGATGGACAAACTGATGTGGGTATTAGTAGGCATGTCAAGTGCAGACAACATAGAACAAAAGGATGGTTTCATAAAAGAAAATAACAATTTCTTTATGTACCTTTTGCAGAGCCCTCTGCACCCCGTATTTTTGTGTCGAAATGAATGAATTTAGCAAAACACTTATTGCCATGTCCACATCTTCTTCAGTGACATGCTGTCTGAGGTGCATTCTGGCGTGTGCTTCAGACATCCGTATCATTGATTCTATGTGCCTCACTGCTATAGGTACACCTTGTCCATGCTGTCAAGAGATTGTTAATAAAGGATTACCACTCAAAAATCATTGAGAGAAACAAGAGCAATGAGTCTCACCGACGATTCTCTCCGCAGCTCAGCATAAACTTGTGTGAGTTTTTCCATGTCAGAATCATGAAACCTTGGGAATATGTTCAACTTGGCATAGGTAATGTACTTCTTCAGCAAATCTTGAGAAAGAACCTAAAACAAGATGGAGAATCTCTCTATGATTAAAAATCAAGGAAAAGATGACGAAAAACAAACAGCAAAAAGAAGACGATGGTAAGAGCTTGAGCATGCCACCTCTGGATCAACTGGCCTGGCAGAGGCTTGATCTTCCTGAGACTCACCATAGGACCTATCATCTATATTAGCACCCTTGGCCTGTGATTTGAAATGACTATCAACTACAAACTCTGCAAGCATCTCATCTGCTATGGGGTCAACCACATCCTGCAATTAATCAAACTTCCTTCCTGGTAAGATTGAGTAGACATGTAAAAAAGAAAAATCAGAGTTCACAGAAGAGTTACCTTGACAACACAGAGGATGTCAAAACGAGAAACGATGGGATCTGTCAACTCAACATTCTGTGAAAATGTTTTGGAGGAGTCGTATCTGACAGGTTGATTGAAATAAGAAGTTAACAAAAAAACTTGTTGCAAATTCAAATGTTTTCGCATTTGGCCCACCTGATGAGTATCCCATTAAAAAAAAAAACTCTGCATGCTTTTCCTCGACCAATTTTCAGTTTTAGAAACTAAATAAATTTATCAACTTGAATACCTTCCTCCAACAGGATTTGCAGCGGCAATAACAGAGCACCGAGCCTGGAGAGAAGTAACAATGCCAGCCTTGGATATACTAATACTCTGCTGCTCCATTGCTTCATGGATGCTCACCCTGATCATGGGTAGATCTTTATTGCTCACAACAGCAACAGGAACAGGAACTCAGATTACCAAGAAATAAACAAACGTTTCCATACCTGTCCTGATCATTCATCTTGTCAAACTCATCAATCAGGCAGATCCCTTTATCGGCTAGAACAAGGGCTCCTCCTTCAAGGGTCCACTCTCTTGTCACTGGGTCCTTGTGCACTGCAGCCGTTAGACCAACAGCAGAAGCCCCTTTACCAGTAGTATACACGGCCCTTTGTCCAGTCTTTTCAACATACCTGAGAAAACAAAATCATCCTTGGTTAATGCACCATTGCCATTATACCATCTCAAGAAAGAGACCGTTTAGAATTGTCTAAGCATAAGTCTTACTTCAGAAATTGAGATTTTGCCGTGCCAGGATCACCTAGGAGAAGCACGTTGATGTCTCCTCGCAGCCGGTGTTTCCCTTCAACATTTTTCTCTTGGCCTCCAAACATAGCCAGAGCTAATGCAGTTTTTATGTCCTCATGTCCATAGATGGACGGGGCAATAGACTTGATAATCTAAAAATTCAGTTCAAGAATGTAATCATGAGCAGTTTTTTATGATATAACAGAAAGCATGGTCCACACAAAAGAAAACAAAGGTAACTCACTCTTTCGCCTATCCTTGGGTCTTTAGACAACTTTTCAATTTCTTCTTTGTCCTCCTGAGTGAGCTTGTATGCAGAAAAGAGATCCTGCTTCTTTGTGACATAGTTTGCTTCGATAACAGTGGAAAAGACAGGAAATCCATTCTTTGTGTTCAAAGACAAGTCAAAATTATTTGTATATATGCCAGTGACCTCCTGAGAAATACATCTCGTGGAAAAAAAAAAGACAATGAGGAAGCAGCCACCAGGAAAGCAAGCAAGCAAAAACAAGCAAGTCCAAAAAGGGATCCTACAATTTCTTCCCCAGGGCGTGCACAGTCAATCAAATCATTCAACAGTATCACTTCCTTGTATCTTGGAAGCCGTCCTGCAGGCACAATTCCAGGGCTTTCTTGGAGTGTAAGCTTCTGGTAATTTCTGTATATTGTCTGCAGCAAGACGTAGAAAACTATGTCAACGAGTTTCAAGTCTATGAATCTGCTCCATACAACTGCAAAAATAACCTTGTCGAAAACTAGTTAAATTTCTTAAGATCACATTATTTCTGGTTATTAGGACACGAAAACAAAGATGCTCAACTGAGACTAATACAACAAGGAATATCTGAAATACAAGATTAACGATAATTTCTTCATCCTCTCAGACATTTCAGCAAGGGAAGGGAGAAAATTGGACAGACATGAGATATTTACCTGCTCAATGTTAACAGTGAATGGTCCTTTTGATTGGCATTCAGGGCAAGAACCAACCTTGACTTCTGAATAAGAATTCTGAAAGAATGGTCCCAAAATTGCTCCACACTTGTTGCAATCATATTTTACCTGCTGCAACTGAGGGAAGACACCAGATCGCCTAGTCACAACTCCTCCAACACGAATCATAGTGTTCAAATGAATTTGCCTCTAAGATCACATTTGAAGATGTTTCACCTGACACCATTTCATTTATCAGTCGAACATATTCAAAATATCCATCTTCATTCTTTGGATTCACATATGTAAGTAAGAATTCCTTAAACTTCTTAGCAATGAAACGACGAACTTCATCTCTGGTAACCCATTCCCTGAGAGTTCCTTGGACACGGTACATCTCAAACTCGCCTTCATCGCCATCTTCATCCTGCATAGGTATCACTTTGGTAATGAGAAAAAAATAGCATAATGCTTCGCATGAAACAGCACAAAATTATCTCAAAAATGAAGCGAAAAGATTAAATACTACTGTTCATCACCTCATCTTGATAATCCTCTGTTTGATCAGTCATAGGCACATCTTCCCTTGAATGTCTACTCTGTGATCTACCTGGTGAGCTCTGCAAACCATCATCAGTATCAACATCATCATAGCTTCTTGGGGGCCTGAAATCAGCTCTAGACCTTTTTGAAGGCCTGTAACTGTCATCATCCGTATCTGCAACCAAATTTCCAATCATGAACAACTTTCTTAACGTCATACATTCAACAAATTTCTGAGCAAACAGTGAAATTTGAGTTTCACCAAAAAAAGATTTCAAGTCCCATTAGACATGCTAAGAGAAGTGAACGACTAAAATTTTAAAATGTACTTACTGTATAAATAAAATGTGTATCACATAATCATATTAGCTCATATTCGTTATTTGAAGATATTAACTTTATATAAAAAAAAATATCTCTTGACTTCGAATTATAACAGGAACAAAATATCCCACAAGAACAAGACTCAACAATGTCAAAAACAGAGGCGCAGCACAATGACATCTAATGAAATTAAGGTATAAACTATGATACAGGCAGCTTCAAAAACATAGATCGCGTTGAATTTGAATCTATAAACCTCTCAATTAGTTATGACAAAATCAACTAACTTAAACTCACAGAGAGCCAGGAAGAGACTGAATTTGTTTTTAAAAATCAACTAACTTAAACTCACAGAGAGCCAGAAAGAAACTGAATTTGTTTAAAAAAAAAGCCAACTTTTGGGTTTCTTTTTCATTTTTATTTTTGCATAACAGCTACAAATTAGTGAAGAAGAAGATACCATTGTCATGTAGAAGCTGAGGGAGCTTCCGATTCGAAAATTTAACATCACGAGCCTCGAGCTCCAACTCAGCCGCCCTTCGATCCTGAATCACCTGGTCAGGATCCCTATCATCCTCGAACGATTCGTCCAGCCCCACGGTCTCGTACTGATCATGCTCATCCATTCTACGATAATCACTGCATTTCATCCCACGTATAAATAAACATTCACACAAAAAGCATATAATCATCATAGCAATAAGAGCAATAGTTAGTAAACTGACTCCATAAAATTGTCGTTGAATAGATCCTCTCCTTCCTCTTCTTCTTCTTCGGGTTCTTCAGGCTCTTCAGGGAGGATTTGGGGATCAACGGCGGCTTCATCGTCGTCGTCGGTGTAGTTCTGGCTGGTGTTGTGAGGGAGCTGATCGGTGTTGAATCCTGCAGATGTGGTTGGAGAATCCGGCGATGAGGGTGGATTTCCAGAATTGCCAGACGCCATTATCTCTTTTTAGGGGGGTTTCTGGAAATGCAAAATTCGGGGAACTTCTTTTTCTCAGCCCATACACTGTACTTATGAGAAAGTGGCGGGGGGGCGTTGTTTTGGCGGGAAGTATTGGCGCCAATTTGGCATACGTGGCTGCACTATGGGTCTGGACTATTTTATTAGCTATAGAGCCCAAGTTCATCCTTAATTTTGGGTTAGGCTAGAGCATGTTTTGGTCCATTTCAGAAATTCGGACTTTAAAGCCCAAATATTAAATTTAAATTTGGGAAAGCTTGGGCTTCCGCTATTACAATTATTTTTAAATTATTTTTTATTTAAAAATATATTAAAACAATATTTTTTATTTTTAAAAAATTATTTTTTATATTATTATATCAAAATAATCTGAAAAAATTATAAAAATTATTAATATAAAATAAATAAATAAATAATAAAGTTAATTTTTTTCAAAATCATTTTTATAATACAAGAACAAACGACCCTCAAAAATCCCAAACTATGGTGACAATTTGACGCCAAAAAAAAGTAATTTGACAAGAAAGTTCATGTTTATGCTTTTTTATAAATAAAGAAAATTTTTTTGATGGAATTTCCGGCTCAATCATGTCAATTCAAAAAGCAAGACTAGCGTATAAGAACTCGAATGATAGATTCATGAGTTGCTTTCCACATTGAATGGTTAGGCTTTTTAAAAATAAATACCAAGTTAACAATTTTAAAAAATATCATATTAATAAAAATAAAAATAAATCAAAGAAAAAAAAAGATAATACAGGAAAAAAAAAACAAAAAAACAGCTAAATTAGATCATGGTCTAAGAGAGTCCCGCTCTCTTCTTCCACTGTCTTATTCTTTTAGTTTTTGTATTCTTGTTTGCTATTCATGAATAGTATTTATTATATAAAGCTAATTCAAAATAATTTTCTAGACTTGATAAAATTATGCTTCACTCTCTTATATATCTCTCTTGTCTTTTTTGTTCATTCAGTCAAATGGAGTTATATTGTCTTGTCTTTTTTACTATTTTTATATATTTTCAAGATACTTATTGAATACTATTTAAGCTATATATTCTTAGATTTTAAGAGAAATGAAAGGGATCTGGATACTTACCCTTGCATTTTCTTCATTATACATATAAAACGAAATAAGGAACACGCAACCCTTTTCTTCGTACAAAAAACATCATTTTCATCTTCTTGAATTTTCACTTGTTTGTCTAGCCAATGTTATTAATTTAATTTCAATTGATATTCTTTTTTTAATTAAAATAATACATTTTGGTTTCAAAGTATTTTATCATGTCATTGCAGGGTTATGTTATTCATACATGCGTGTGTAAAAAAATAAAACATTAATTCAACATATAATTTCAATTTAAATCTAAAGATAAATTAACTTGAAATTATACAATTGAAATTTTAAATACAACACAATGTATTTGGATATACTTTTAAAAATTAAACATTCATATTAGTAAATACAAGATTATTGGTTTGTGTTATACTATAAGTCAGATAATTTTTTTAACATAAAAAAACATTTATATTTTATAATACAAAAAATTTTAAACAATGTAGGAGCTGATCTCATTGACTTGGTGGGTCAAAAACAACTTGATAGCAAATAAAAACATAACTTGACTGTAAAAAAATTCAATACCATATTAAAAAAAAACAATATTAAGACGATAAAATGTTAAATTAACTTGACACAGCCTGAGTTAATCCTTCAAATCCATGATTCGGGTCGTAAAACCATGATAACTCTTATATAAAATAAATTGAAACAAATTATGAAATTTGATTTCCAAGAAACTCATTGTTAAACGACGAGATTAAGAAAAATTCAATATTAAAAAAAGATACAATAAATCAACTCAAATCTACACAAGTTAACTCGCAGGACTCTTAACTCGAGTCATGAGATTGATTGATATAACTTCATAAAAAACAAATTAAAATAAATGACAAACCCTAATTCATAATCAACCAAATATTGAAGATGTTAAATGATGAAATTAAAAAAAAATATCAATTAAAAAAAACTTGAATCAATCGTATTAACCAGCTAAACCTATATAAATATAACTAGCTTCTCGGAGTAGGTATATAAAATAAAATATCACGACAATATTGGTATTTTAACATAATAAAATTTGATAAGAACTTATAAAAATAAATATAAAAAGCTAAGCAATCAATTAATTTTAACCAGACAGGATTTTAAAACCATGTTATGAAATATTTTTGATTCCACAAATATTAGGACATCCTCTTTAACTATTATTCTAATTATCACAAAAAATTATAAATTAAACCGGGGCTGTTCAAAAAACCTTATTATTTTTGTTTAATAATCATAAAATGATCAGATGATTATAGCATATTTGTTTAGTTTATAATCATGCAAACATGTAAAAACATGATAAACGTGCAATTATTATAAAAATCTAGATAGCATGAATGCTGCACAAATATATAAACTTGCAAGAGATATAGAAAAAACAAACTTAGCATGTAAACTAAACAAGTATTGAAACTATACTTAAACAAAATTAGTTCATAATGCTTACTTGTTGAAGTCTTTAGAAAAAGAATTCAACTTGAATTTTTTGTTGTAGTTAAAGATTAATAATTTGTACTGCCTCTTGTTGTAGTTAAAGATTAATAATTTGTACTGCCTCCTCCCATTTTGTACAAGAAAACTAATTTCAATGAACATTCCAGGATTCCAACAATCTTTCTTTATTCAGGTGCGCTTCCAAATAAAGTATAATAAACTCAAATAAATTTTATTAAATATTTACATATAAAAACCAAACTTAAGCTCCACAACAGAAATAATAAATAGAAAAACAAGTCTAAGAAAAACCAACAACAAATGAATGAAATAACTCAAAAAATCCTTTAATCTACTTTCACCCATTTAAGACACTTATATACAATCATTCTTATCACATAATTAATTAGTTCATGTACCGTGATATTTTAATTTTTTTTAAATTAATTAGTTCATGTACCGTGATATTTTTTTTTTAAATTACGTATAAAATAGAAATTTAATAACAAAATATTTAATAGCTTTTAGTATTCCGTTAATACTCTAAAAACTAATATCACTATTATTCTCACGTGTTTTTTTTAGAAGCTACAATTACAACTAAAAGCCATGGTTTTCTCAAACGGAGCCATAGTGTCTTACATCGTGCTAAAAGTCACATATGGTCCCTTTACTTTTCAATTAAAGGCAAAAAAAAAATGTATATAAAACAAGCAAGTAACTAAGTGAAAAGGTTAAAAAACCAACTCTCCTGTTTAGAAATAAAATGTCCCTGAAAATTCTTACTCTCATTGGACCTTTCGTATCTACCTTTGATTGGAAATGATGATTCAATTTGAAGTAGAGGGTTTGGCGACCGAAAGTGTAAAGTAGAAAGCTTTTTAGCCATCAATTATGATTTTGTGTGAGGAGGAGGGCGCGGAGGAGGAGGCTGTTATCGGAACTTCAATACTCATGTGTGGCTAGCTAGATTAGCACGCTATCAGAAGCTCTTTTTGTCGGCGTGGATGATGGGACAATAATGCCACCCAAGCCAAATACATATAAAGCTTTTGGAGGTAAGAGACGGCGGTGATGTATTTTCGACCTTTTCTTTTATATATATATATAAATAAATTAGACCGGACAACAGCATAACAAAAGCCATCTATCTGGAATATTTAAATCTACAAGCCTGTCAGTGACAAACCTTCCATCAGAATTAGAACAGTGGTCAATGATTAATTGGTGGCGATTAAGCTTTTGAAGACTGGGCTAGGACGTGGTCGGTTAACTACAGGGGCGGAACCAAAATATAAAATCAAGAGGGGCCAAAATGCTGTGATTTATAAAGTGTTTTATAAAAACACTAAAAATAAATTTAAAGAAAGCTGGAAAAATTTTTTCCTTGTAGAGGCCGGGCCCCTGCCAGCCTCCCTTTGTCTCCGCCCCTGATTAACTAGACAAATCTTGTTGGATAGCCCCGGTGAGTTCAGGGTATTTTGAGCCTCAAATATCTAGTAATATAATATTTAAAAAATTATCTAATTTTGCACTTTTTTTAAAAAAAAATTATGATAATATTAACAATTTTTACATGAATAGTTCTGTATTTTTAGAGTAATTTGCTTATTAATATTGAGCGAGACATGTATTTTTATATTATAAATTTTTTTTATATATATTTTATTCATATTCATGGCTCTTATATTTTTCATATAAATCAGTAAAAATTATATTATTTATAAATTTTTACTAAAATTTACTTTCGTCATAAGTTTTACTTAAAAAAATGTTTTTCATAAGAAAAAACAAATACATAAATAAAAAAACCAAGTTTTCAATTAAAATTGTACATGTTTTTTCTTTTTTTTTTCAAATCACTATGATTTTTGTGAATATTTTGGCTGATTGTTATTACTTTTTATTCAATAAACCATGATGTCAATAAAAAAATCATTTTGTTGTCAAAATAAAAAGATTACATCAATAAGAAAATAAAGTTTTGATGAAAAAAATACATTTTTTCCTCTATAACTCTATTCTTATTTTTTTCCTTTCTACTGTGTGATTAAATAAAAAAAAGATTTAAAAAACATCATCAAAAATCATAATTGTAGCTTCTCTCTGTTAATCTTAAGAGAATCCGAGACAAGGAAACGGCAGATTAATGCATGAAGGAATTGAAGGCGGGAATGCAAAGGAATGGAACCGCTAAAGTGGCGCTTCTAATTAATCCAACAAGAAGAGCCTCCCTTACTGGTTCGTTCGTTCGTTCGAGTAAGGAAGGCAAATGAGAGGTGTCTTCTTAGTTCTCACGCAGAGACACAACTGTGCATTGATTTAGGAAGACAAGTTCTGTCTAACAAATCCTTAGCTAAACGCCATGATCAATAGTTGCAGTCAAAGATTCTACCAACCAATTTCCATTGGAATTGGTCAAGTTTTGTGCAAATTGTCTCGTCAATTCCCTGAGAAAGAATATTACAGTCGAGTTGACCTTCCATCACCAAATTTTCACGGTTGGTGGTCAGTGGAACATCTGATAGTCTGTCCGTCCACCTCGGGGTGTGGTCAAATATGAGCTTAAATTTTCCCAATATTCTTGTTAAATAAGATACCCGGTTCAATTACAAGCTTCAGCCATGATGAAGAGATAACAAGTAGGCAGCAATCGATCTGGGAACGCTGCTTGTGAAATGGAAGAAAATCTTGATGCCCAGGCCTCTGCAAAAGAAGGAATCAGAGAGAAAAGAACTGGCATTCCTTTTTATTATGTATGAACAGATCGTACTGGCAGGAGCAGTAATTAGGAAACATGTCCAGCATAGCAAAAATTAGATCACAAATCCCTAGCTAGTAGGCAGAGGGGGGTTCTTTCATACAGAAATGAAATCACATCAGCCACCGAACTGCTAGTGAAAAATATCAACACCAAAATCCACTAATACTTCTAATCTAACTAGCTAAACGTTACATTCCTGATAGCCCAGCCTCCAGGATACCCACATGTTCCGCAACCATACTCTGGCGTCTTTGTTGTGTACCGATATGAACCCGGATTCTGTGTCAGTGGCGATGGATATTGATGCTGATGCACTCCGTGATCCACAGCAACTGATGGTGGAAGTTGTAATGGAAAGGTTGGCTGAGGCATAGTGTAACATACTTTTACTGGATGAGATAACTCCATAGAAGGCAACCCGGTGCCTGGTGAAGGGGAACTGAAGCTGATATCATCAAGGGAAGAGGATAAGCATGCGTTCTTTGGCTTAACATCGACCTCTACGGATGGATAACGAACTTTCTTAGGTGATGAGAAACGAATTCCAGGTGGCAAATCAACTTTTGGACTATCAATTCCTTCCTTCTGGACTTTCTCATTCACCTCATAGGAAAGATTCAGGACACCATTAGGCTTCCCATCGCTGTTTCGGACCTGATAGCTTACAAACCTGACACTACCGTTAAACTCCTCAATCAAATCCCTGAATGGAACACAAACTTCCCCGATAGATTTGTTACCAAATATGGCACCTTCGCAGCGCAATTCAAATTTGAAAAAGAGATGATCACCATGACCAGGAAGTGAAGTGGTATTGAGATCAAACTGCATCATATGATTCCATTCAGGATTGCTACCTCCTCTGTCCGCTGGTGTCTTTTGCCGCTGCAGAAGTTGCTGCTGTTCGTTCTTCTGCGCTTCATCGTTTAGAGGTGTCTTTTGCCACTGCAGGCGTTGTCGTTGCTTTTCGTTCTTCTTCAACACACAACGAAGAAAGTCCACTGCTGTCCTTTGTCGCTGCCGCTCATTCTTCCTTGGTTCATCATTAAAAACGGAGACAACAACATAGACTGAGAGCTTGTGAAAGAAATTGAACGCTTTGAGATCTCTGCAGGAAATTACTTTCAATTCTAGAGAGACCCCCTCCATGGTGTGTTCTGCTTTCTTCTCTATTGAGCTATTGTGATCTCTTTCAACACCACATGAAAGGAAGCTCCCTTTTGGCATAGATCTAGCTTGAGGAACAAGAAGCAAAATAAAACAAGTGCAGAAGCTTCAACCAAGTCTCTAAATTATCTATCTATAAGACACGCTATTTGACTGGCCCACTTAAAAGAGCTTTCAAGTGTCCATTCATGTTAAGTGTGTTAAGGAGTTTGATATTTTTTTTATAGTATTTTTTATTTAAAAATATATAAAAATAATATCTTTTTATATTTTTAAAAATTATTTTTAATGCTAGCATGTCAAAATAATTTGAATGGACTAATTTTTTTAATTTAAAGTTAAAAAATTAACTTTTATAAAATACTTTTAAAATATAAAAATATAACAAAACCTAATAACAAGGATGCGGTTTCTAATGCTATGGAGCTCATGTTCTATTTTTTTACTATCGATCAATACCACTTTTACCTTTTCCTAATCATGACAAATACCCCCATCATCTCAAATGATGACCTTAAAAGCAACAACATCCTTAAGAGTCTGATTACATTATTTTTTAAAATAATTTTTTATTTTAAAATATATTAAAATAATATTTTTTATTTTTTAAAAAATTATTTTTATTATCAACACATCAAAATAATTTAAAAATATCAAAACAAATATTAATTTAAAATATAAAAATATAAAAAATTAATTTTTTTTAAATATTTAAAACACAACGACAAACAAAAAGTTTCAATATATTCAAACTTTCAGGGCAGCGTGTTTTGAATTCGCCTTCTATTTTTTATTTTTGAGGTGCAATTGCTTTCATGATGTGAAATCCTAGCAGTCAAGTCGCCTTGTCTGCCCATTCCAACAAAAGAGAGAAAAAAGAAAGAAAGAAAAAGATGCAGTCACTCTGTCCACGCAGAAGGCTTCGCTCATGGATTAGACGCTGCAATTCGATAAAGTGAGATAACTTGACACGAACCCAGAATAACGTACCACTCAAGAACCCTAAGAAGGCACAAGAAATTTTACCAAGCGATGAAAGGACAACTAATAATTGATGCAACAACATTGCTCTTCTCCATAAAGTTTTCCGTGTTCATTAATGCAATTATCAGCATACCTTGGAAAATGAAGGATACTCCACAGTACGAATACAAGACCCGTCCATACAATAAACAATCAAGCACAGTACGCTTTAGCAATAGTGGGAAATCCCACTAGTGGCAGTACCAAAAACCATTTCAAGGAATTCACTTACAGCATCCATTTCACTTGGGAGTTGAGACCCTGCTTTCAATCCTCTTTTTTGTCAAAAAGGGAAAGAGAACCAGTAGATTTGTACCTAGGAGCATTGAAAATAGAAGATTTCTCGATTGCGTTTGGTATTCTGCGAAGAAACACATCATTCTCTACTTTCAAACTCCTAAAGACATTGGATGATAACCATATAAGCTGTAAAAATAAAACTAAAAAATGATGCCGCTAAGCAAACAGATAACCCTAGTAAAATGCTTCACGTCCACCAGCCGCAGACTACAAATGAAGCTCACATCCATAAGCATGGCATGGAATAGAAGGTAGTTGTGTCAGTGCAAACAAAGCATGGCATGGAATAGAAGGTAGTTGTTGTGTCAGTGCAAAAAATCTCTGTGGAGCAATTATTGTTGCTTGAGATTTGGAGGTCTGTGTTGCTGATTGTGATAGTTTAATTGGTTTCAAGATAACAAATTTGATTGCATAAATTAACAACATGAAATAAAATGCACAGTAAAATCTCATACTCTTATCCAACCAAGTCCTGGTATCTACCTCAGTGACTTTTGGTCTTTTTCTGGCCCTGAACTTGGACTGCTGAGCAAATCTTGTTCCAACAACGAATAGCGACGAGTGAGGGTATTAAAACCCAGGAGGCATTTGCACCGATATAGTACACATAATAGTGATATGAACTTGCAGCAAAGTGATCACCTTCTAAGTAGGCGGTTAGGAAATACACAGCTGTTCCATAGAGCTGTCCCAAAGAAACGGAAAACTGAAGTATGTAGCTGTATGATTTTCCTGAAGCAATAGCATACCTGCCAAAAGTCAGCAAGAAACACTGTTTAAGAATTAAGGGATTGAAGGTAATGGAAGATGATATGAAGTCTGTTGACACTTGAACAAAAAAATGAATCTCGTTCTAGATACCAAGTCAAGTGAAATCATACACTGCCAGGAGGCTAGCTGGTCCCTCGAGAACAGCAGTCAATCCTTCAACAGTAACTGTTGCAGCATCCCTTGCTGCATATCTTGAATCACCTTTGCTATATTCTTTCCCTGCCAAATATATAATGAGTACCATTATTTACCAAAGTTTTAGAATTCCATGTTCTCTCTATAAAATAAAGAGTTAAAATGGCCTCTCAGTTGTGAATAATGCTAAATGCCACAGATGAAAATAAAGTGTATATGAACAAAAGAGAAAAAGAAGAAGTACTTACAAACTTCAGCCAGATAATGAGCAGTCTTGTCCTTGTAAAATTCTGGAGAGAAAGCAAAATAACCCTCGAGAATCAAGTGTGTGAGACCAGTGAAAGCCCACCAGCACATGAGCAATCTATCAATTTTGGCTAATTTACGAGACCTTCCTGAAATCGGAGAAATGGCCTATTGCAATTAATTAATTAATTACTCAAAAAACATTCTATTCTCTGGAAGTAAGTTCATTAAATTAATAAAACAAAGAGTACCGCTTATTGAATGCGCTAATCACAAAGGAACAGGATGCAAAACAAATTTTGTTATAAAATTTAGTATGGACCAAAAAACATGCTAGAAACCAAAAACTATCACGGGTCAGAGAAAATGTTGCATTTGCAGAGGAAGGAAATCTATAATGAAGATTCAAAAATTACATCTAAACAAGAAACGGTCTGTAACCTTTCTTCTCGTTACTTGACCTTATAGATCGGAATCCACAAAATTACTGTCAATTATAAGTAGATGCCAGGACAATTAAGATCACTGTCAGTGTAACATTTTGCTTCATAAATTTGTGACAGCCTGTAGTATACTTGCAGGTCCTTTTAGAAGAGGCTGTATAGCTCCATCTTGAGGAGAGAAAAGAAAAACACAAAGTTCAAGTGCTAATCCAAGACAAACAGAAAGGAAGCGAGAAAAAATGAAAACATTGATTCTCCGTTGGGAAAGAATTGTAGTTCCAAATCCAAAGTAAACAAGCCTTAATACCTTTTCCAGTCTACCAAGTACAAACACGGAACAAAATTAGATCTTGAACTACATAAATAAAAATAGGAAGAAAGATCTCAAATTTCAATTAGCAAATGCAGAGTAGAGTGGAATAAGTTCATCTCCTTAATTTATTTTTTATTTCTCATTGAAGATTTTGCTACTGCCAATGGGTAGCCCAGCAAGGCAACAGCCATTAATAACTGACCAGTGAACTCTGTGCATCGAATAATTAAGTGAGAAACTGAAAGCCAATCCCTCTAAGAAGATCCTTTAGGTTCTGCAGCCATAAGAATACTCTGAAAAACATCTAGTACATGATTGAAAGTTGAAATCAGAGTGGGCCATACAGAATATGCATGCTTCAAAATATATGTTCACTGCTACTGCTAATAAACCAAAACTACAAACTGCGGGATTTTTCAAAGGGAATCTATAAAATCTACAATCCAGTAAAGTATAGTTAATGAAAGCCCACTTTCAGTCTTGGAAAAAAGACTGAAAAAAAGAGTGTAAAAAGAGGGCAAACCAGAGAGGATCCAGATGAGAGAAACGACAAGAAGGGAGGAGAGTCCATAGACAGAGACAATGGTGAATTGAGTGAGGAAATTAGGAACATAGCCAGGCAGTTCGAGATCTGTTGGTGCGTATGGATGCGGCTGCCCCTCCATTTTCGCTTGTTTGCCTCCGCCTCTCTCTTTCTCTTATGTGAATCGTCGTTGCCAACTTTGTTTTTGAATTTCTATTGGATTGGCTTAGATAGGAGTCAGACGCAATGGCCTGTCGTTCTGTGGATCTTTGGAGTGGGCGGGTGGTCTTCAACTCTATCAATCTTTTTGTCCTTTTTCTTTCTCTGGTTTTTGTCTGTACACATGATTTGCATAACACTGCTTGTTTCAAGGAGTTTCTCTAGTGAAAATGTTCGTGCCAATTGGCAACACTTTAATTTGGACTAATACACGTGATTGGATTGTTATTTCATATGTTCTTAAAACTTTTTATATTGTATATTTTAGGTTGGTTTTTTTTTTAAAGAATCTATATTTTTTAATTTTTGAGAGTATTTATCATTGTAATTGATTTTTGAAATTTTTTTTCATAAATATATTAAAAAAATATTTTTATTTTTTAAAATTTATTTTGATATTAGTAAAGAAAAAAATTAAAAAAAATAAAAATTATTTTTTAAAAAACAATATTTTGACTGCAATATTAAAGATGCTCTTAGTCAATCATGTTAAAAAAATTTAAAATTTTTTTATATGTTTTTTTAAAATTCTTTAATCCTTGTATAATTCACTTATTATTTAACTTTGCTTTTATTTTTTAAAACTACATATATTATAATTTATAAGTTGTATAACACATCCTTGTTAATATACACCAAAGAAATCAATAAAAAAAGGAGTAAATTATTTATAGAATTCTATTATATTTCAATCAATAACTAAAAAACAATTGTGTCATATATTATAATTTTTATGCTAAAAAAAGGCAATTAAACCACCACCACCTTTATTATTTTCTCCTCATCGATCAGAATCTGGCCATTCAAACTAAATTCACAGAGAAAGCTCCCGTGAGAAATTGTATTAAATATCCATGATCGTGACTCCACGATCTCATCTAGATGCCCAAAACCGAAAAACACTACCCCCAGAATCTCAAACAAATGGCAGATCTTGAGCATCAAGTATAAAAGATGGAATGTCCATTTATGGCTTGCTGATGCCCGTCCACGAGCATAGCACTCATCATAATTAAAATTAAAAATAAAAAGCTAAAAGATTAGGAAAAGTTATCTGAGCGCAGGAGACAGTCCACGTCGGTATAATGAGTTGAACTATCTCTGGATAAGAAAACTTTGAATTACGTAGTTGGAACAATTATTATACAGAAAAAAAACTAGTAGTTTAACTATATAATTAAATAATATAATATAATGCATATTACTCGTAATAGGTGTTTCAATCAATTTATTTTTTCTTAAATAGTGTAATTACTTTTATGCTCTTGAAAAAAAATCAACATATCTCTTTTATAATGATTAATTTATCATTTTATATTAGTTTATTGTAAATTTAAAGGTTATTAATAAATATTATTGTAATTGATGTATACCAGTATTATTAAAAAAACCTACTGATATGTGTGACAACCATCAAACATCATATCTTGTTGTCGTATTTGGAATGTCTCAATGTTTCTAATAAGATGTGGTGGTCCCACGCTTCTCAGGTTTGGGGCTGATAATTGTTTTTGTTTTTTATTCTTTTTCTCCACCACAAATTCAGCTTCTGCCCTATCAAAAATTCAGATGAGCCCTGCAATTTATTTTCCTTCATATTTGGTCTATGCCCAATTGATTATTATTTTTTTTAATTTTGAATAATCTATAAAATTATAAATATATTTTAATTTCACTTTTATTATTTTTTAATCTATAAATAATTTATCAAATTACAAATACATTTTAATTTCATCACACTATAATTTTTTAAGTTTTTAAATTTGATTTTTATTTTTTTGATTGCTATTTATTTTACTTAGGATCATTTTTAATTTATTTTTTTATAATTTTATCATCTTTGGATTTTTTTCTATCAAATTTAAACCAAAAAACTAATACAATACTAAACAAACAACATGACAAAGCATATTAAAATTTTATGTTACCAATGTTCATACAAGCATATATATATATATATATAATATTTTTTAAAACTATAACCATAAAAGTTACACTATACTAATCACACCCGTGGCCAATATCAAACTTACAGCTAGAAATTTTATAATGATTTGTACCGAAAATTACAAAATGATAAATGATAGAACTAAAAAGGTTGAAATTTTAAAATGTAGTGTACGTGTTTTTGTAAAAATATGTTTGAAAGTGTTTTTGAGGCTTGTACATTAAAATATTCAAATTTTTTTAAGTATTTTTAATTTTCTTTGAAATTCATCAGCAAACATGATTTTAATGATCCACGACATAGACAACAAGTAAACTCTTGATGGTTGGAATATGGAAAGCCCTGTTCAATACATTTTTATATATAAGAAAGAAAAAGAAAACCCAACCTGTGTTTAGAAATCTCCAAATTGTTTGCAAATAAGAGATTATGGTGCAATAAACATCAGTTTCTGTAATTAATTACAGTATGCATTTAAGCAGATGCAGCTGTAATGCGGGCAGCAAACAGTAGCTAGGCTCATTTCTGCTTCTTGAAGTTAGGAGTTAGGACCATTCCTCTTCACAGTTCCCAGTGACAAGACACGTTTGGACGTCTTATCAAGTGCACCGGACAACCACCCAGCACCAGCCGAAGCATAGTTTTCTGCTGCCTGCTCAGCATCATAGACTGCTGCTCTTGTTTGGAGCGCTAGTGTTCTTCCTTTCTCTGACAACTTGTAATTCTCCTCTAGTTCTCTGGCCTTGCTCAACATTTCAACGCTTTTCAAAGCCACTTTCTGCATCGCAACTTGCACTGCCGGAACAAATCTGGACGATCCATGGTTCTGTAATTGAATAATAGAGAAACTCAATTTTCCAGGTCATGGCCACATGGTTAATTTTGAACTATTTGAAACTGATTACAGAAAGCATGAAAGATGAAGGTCGTGCCGAAGATGTGCAACAGTACAAAATTACTAAGGTAATTGCCGGACTAAGATTCAGGCCGATTGATGATGTCGTGGCCTAGGATGTCAGACCAAGCATGACCCTAGCCCAACACCAGCTGAAACTAGACCTACTAGAATAGGTTGTGCCCAAGCCCACTTGATATAGCGATTGAACATATGTGCGTGGTAAAATGGAAGCTATCTTAACATTTTCCTGGCTAGTAGCGATTAACGAGCCTTAATTCGGCGCTCCAATTTCATAATGATGTCAATATTGGAGCAACAGAGTAGAGCATCGGTTATATTAAAACACAGAGAGATAGAAAACACCTTTCTTATATCTGGACCGGTGATAGGGATCTCGATATCATGCGCAGACAATATCCGAATTGGTTGCCCACCAAGGAGAGCATCCTGCAAACAGTGATTTCTACTTTGTAATTTTAAAAATTACATCAAAGAGTCTATTGAGAGGGTGTTTAACATAGCAGCAGATGAAAGATCTTCACCGAAAAATTACATCAAAGAGTCTATTGAGAGTTGAATACCTTCTTCTCTTATTGTGATCAAGAATTACTTCCCATGGGCTAGTCTTGACAGAAATAATATAAATTGAATAAAATATACTTGGCAATTGAATTTTTCTCTCTAGGTTTTAAGATGAATCTTTCATCAAGAGTTAGAATTGTGGGCTTCTCCTTAAAACAACATTTGATTAGAATCTATGGATAACTAATGGATTTGAAAGCGAAATTCAACCAATCAAGTATTTTATGTGATGATTGCTATCTTTGAGTTTAAAATGAAGTAACTTGGATATATAATCAAGCGAGAGGTACCTATCTATTTACCAAGGCTTCCTAAGTTAGCTTGGAGAAGTCGACGAGTACTTGCTCACAGAGACCGTGAAGTAGAAAGGAAAAAAAAAAGCCCTTTTCTTTACCTTCAATGAATAGCATGAATATCATATTATAAAGATCAAATCCATTCTTACACTCAGGAGAAGAGCAGTCTGAAAAGCATATGGCTGTGTGAAAGTCACTAGAGCTGACTGCATTTGGTCTTTGTCTCTGCTAAACACTCCAAACATCAGATCATAGCAACCACTAAAAAGAAAGAAAATCAGACATATTCAGAAAATCAAAATTAAGAGCAGATCATAATGAAACTGTTTAATTACTTCTGAAGCTCAATCTTCTCAACAGTTCCACAATAAGAGAAGAAGGTATTCAACTCTGCGAGAGTCACACTGGGGGACAGGTTGAGAACTTGAACTGTTAAATCTGACTGAGCCATTATGCTTAAAGCTTCGACCTCACCACCCTTCTACCGGAGTCTATATATCTGTTGTTACCGCGCACAAAGATGCCGCCAGGTAATTGAATGGATAGGTATGGAAATGTCAACTTTATAAGGGATATATTTACATGGCTGAAGAATAAAGGGGAAAAGGATATATTCCTCTTTAAAAAGATGAACTTGTTTCCAAGAATTCCTCGGCGGATGTATTCTGCATTAGCACCTGAAAGACTCTAGCATCACATGTACATGTGTAACATGACAGGAAGACATTTCCGGTAATTCATATGAAACCACACTGTAGCTATAATGTAAAAAAAAAACATCTAAAATACACAACTCAAAACTTTGTAGCTGATAGTACCCAAAAAATGATCTAGAGGCCAGATTTTGTTGTGGGGTCGTTTTAACTTGAAACACAGGCATCAGAAATGGGTCTTCTTCAATGTGGTTTTTAATGAAACATTACCAAAAAGCTAATATAGTGCAATATATGCCCCAAAATTCATGATTTTCTTGTTTTTTTTCCCTACGAATATGGATATAACACTCGACAAGATTAATATTATTTTTAATTTTTAGAGTATATTTGATATTTTGATAACGGTTGTTTTTAAAAGTATTTTTTACTTATACATATATCATAATAACGGTTGTTTTTAAAAGTATTTTTTACTTGTACATATATCATAATAATAAATTTTTTATTTTTTAAATTTTATTTTTCACATCATCAAAACAATCTAATTTTTTTTAAAATATTAATTTAATGAAAAAATTATTTTAAATTTTTTTAAAAAACATTTCTAAATTTCAAAAATATGATTTTAAACATAGAATCCTCAAATAACATCTCACTAGTTTATGAAGACAGAAAAACTTAAATGATTCCAGGCCTTTTTGCAACTATTTAATAGGCTTTAAAGATTTTTTATTTTTTTTTAAGTTGGATAG